ACCTTACACATGTATTGTTGATGTTGTTTATACAGTACCAAAACAAGAAAAGCGTGTGACAAACGATAATGCAGAGCAACGCAGGTGTTAAAGGTCTCAAACGGTCTCAACAGGGAACCGATCCGACATCCCACTCAGTCCGACAGATCGGAGAGCAATTCGAAGGGATCTCAGACTCAGAGAAGCCAAGAACAATATCTCGTGCGTCTGGTGAAATCAGCTCCTATTGTCAGCTGGTCAGCTGGTCTTTCTTTGGGATCCATGTCACAGGCTGTGTCTTGCTCCTCCGAGGCACAAAGGTCCCGTGCGGTTCCCTGCGGCCGCGGAGCATGGGGAGCTGCGCAAAAAAGCGAGGAGATCTGGGTGGTCCTGGAACTGCCGCCTCAGAAGGCGTAGTAAAGACTTTGGAACAAAAATCTCACACGTGCTTCCAACACTGGTGGGGGGGGAGCTGAATCCATTAGATTCCTTCAATGAATTGGTCCTGTTGGGGGTGTCGGGCTACCCTGGTGCTTTGGTTGGTGACTAGTCTAGTGGCTTCGTGCTATGTGTTTTGCCCGGTATATAGGTGTATTACATCAATAGATGGCGATGCAAGGAGGGCGCAATGTTCTTCGTGCGTGTTCACTGGGGGAAGGCCCCCACATGGGAGTGATCAAGTTCCTCCCATCGAAAAAGTAACATGAAGACTTACCGTGACTTAGCTGCCGTTGGAAGGGGGATTTGGACACTGAGACCGCCTCTCTTTGGACCTGACCTGTTTGCACAGAGACCTTGCCGCGGCAGCTTGATGCTCTGGGCTTCCACCCATGGTTTGAACACAGCACTGCCAAAACCTTCCAGACCGGCAACAGCCCAAGGATCCAAATGCACCCTTAGCTCATTGAGACCCAACAGCACACTTTTCGTGATGAGTGAGGCAACAAGTATAGCGACTTCCAGTGCCTTCAGCTCTCTTGGACAACCTGCTTCAGACAGCCTTGGTATTTCTGCCTTGAGCAACAACAAGCTTCAGGAAGCACCCAACCAATCAACCAAGAATCACTTTTACAATCACTCAGTTAAACTAGGACCTCCAATATGGCCGTCTACCCATCCATTAGTTGGGGGGGGCGCCAGGCCCCAGACCCTACTTCGCCATATAATGCCTCGCACTCGATACTTGCAATGAATAGATATGAATGGCCATGCAGCGGCGCACTACACCTACGCTGCACCCGTCAAGGCGAGCCGCTCTGGACGGGATGGTCGAAATGGTGGGGGTGGTGCGCAAAGTGCTGATCAGGTGATGTCTTTTCGGACCGGTTTGCAGCGGCGTTGTCAACGATCCATGATTTATCTTCTCCAGGTAGTTGCAATGACTAGACAGGGCATCATATCCGTCAGTGTATGGACATGTAAGGATTGGACAAAACGTGACAAGACTATCGTTTTGTGTCGGTGCCCTTCAGCCCGTAAAAGGGAAGCGGGCCGACCATAACCGTCCCCAATAGGTGTTCGTATGTGCAAAGAGTTTTGTCCATTGACTACTTACTCCTGTCAGAGCAGTTCGTTGAATCGATGTTCTGGGGCTCAGATCTTCGGCCTACAACGAGGGTTTCTTCTGGGGCCCCAGAAAGGAGTGTTGTGAATGGTTTCTGTTGGTCTTGATAGTTTATCTTGATTCATGGGTTTCCAAGACTTCACCATTGTTCACACGTCGTGTGTTCCTTGGAAAGTCTAGAGATACTTCCCATCTCTTCATCGCACACTGTTTGGGGTTCAGCCGGTCCTTCATGGCCTTCGTTTCGGAACGTGCCAAGCCTCAGGGGCACCTGGCCAACGGAACCGTCAGGCCGCGGCAGCGGCCGTGCTACGTGCGCGGCACGGGAACTGTTCCAAGAAGATTGCTGAGGTAGTCAAATGATTTACGTTGAAGGGAGTTGAAAGGAACCACAAGGAACAATAGGCCCTGATAATGCCCTGATACATGTTCCAATACTGTGAGATCCGACGTGTCTTCAAGGAACGCATTGCATCCGTCAAAGCATCCTTGGGCCCCTCATAGGGCACGCAGACGTTAGTGCACTTTGTATTGGTTCGGGCAGAACTCCGAGCGAGAGGAACAGGCAGGCCACAAATTGGACAAGATGTGTGCGACTACTAGGGACATGAGTAAAGTGTTCCTTCCAAATAGAATTTCCTTTGGGTCCAACCACCCCACCCTCATTCCATGCACAAGTTCATCACACCAACCACCCTCATTGCATGCACAACTTCGTTGCTCACAGCTGGTCAGTCAGGTACCTTTCCACCCAACCCTCTCTGCCTCTACCTGCCACCCTCCAGGCCTCCAACCTGCCACGTCTTCGTCCTCGTCCGCCCCGCGGCGCACGCGGACGCGCTCGATGCGCAGCGGGCGGGGCATCCGCTGAGCCTGGCGGCGTTGAAGGCCGCTGGAGCCGAGGTGAAGGCGCTCTGGCTTGGCTCAGCGTGGGTGTTTGGAGGTGTTTGGAGGCTGTTTTGGAGGAGTGGGAGACGGATGGATTAAGTGATCTGGTAGCTTCTTTTTTCCGCCCCAACTCTGTGGACCCGAAAATCTACCGAAGCAGCGTCTTTAGCAACGTTCCGCACTTGCTCCAGCAAGCTGCACAAGGCAACCCTGGACAAGGGAGATCCACTACTTAGAGGAGCAAGTGGATGGATGGACACGATTGGTTGCGAACCCCCAGAACCGTCGAGTCCTTGAGGTGCTACGAGCATCGTGCCACTGTCAGGGCAAACGTTTGCTCGAAGAAGGTGCTGTTTATGAGGCTCGTCAGCATACTTGGACGCCATTTTCTGGCGATGCGAGCGTTCAGACGAAGTCTGTCAGATGTTGAAAAAACCGACCATGCCGTAGGGGAGTGGCCAAGTAGGGGAGTTCACAGCCCAGAGTGAGAGAGGGCTGGACCAATAGGTGTTCATCAGTCTGGATGCCCTGGTGGATGCCCTGGTGGATGCCCTGGTGGCTAATTACAGTAGCACCCTTCCAGTCAGAAGAACTGGGGAGATCCGGCTTATAATTGCTTTGTTTCGCAAGCGTGCTGTCCCCAGCACCAAGCTGGACATGCATGGGCCGTGGGTGTGTTTTTCCTTTCCAAGCATGTTCTCCAGGTCACAGAGACCCAAAGTTGGAACAGCCTGAACTTTTGAGCATCTTTGATCACACAGTCTATAGCAAGATGAACCTACACTAACTACTAACCTCATCGAAATCAGCAGCAGCTCCAAAATCACCTATTGGTCAGCCATTTGTGATTGAAAAGGACAAGGGAGCTAGTTTCATGCTGTTTCATCTAGATGTCCATAGCACCCACATGGTTTCATCGCCACCGGTGACGCCCGGTGACGCCATTGGGCCGAAAACGGTCCTCCGAGGAGTTGGCTGAGTGTGGCAGGACAGGAACCCTCTTCGTATGCCCAGCGTCACTAAGCTTCGTTTGCTCCAGGCAATGAGTTAGTTTCGTTGTCCAGTTCTGATGAGCTGGAAGTCCTACCCAGGAGGATTGTAACCTGCAAAAACCATTCTTGTTTGGTGGAAATTCGGGAACCGGTTGAGAAAAAGGTCCGTCAACCTTTTTCGCGGATCTCCGGTCAGTCCGAGTTGTGCCGCCACGTCGATCAAGCTGTGCCGCAGTTCGCCCGAGCCCGCCGTTTGCCCCCATGCAGGACCCTCCGTTTCGAGGGCCATGCTATCAATGTCAACGATGCTCGGTTTGACTGGAGGTGGAGCGACAGACCCACGAAACGCTTTGGGTTTGGTCGGCCTGTTGCGGAGGAGTGCTCCTTTTCTGCAGCTGGGCTGCGATAGAGAAAATATGAGAAAATAGAAAGCACTAGTTGGTGCAGTGGCGGTGGTGATTTGATTTTTGTCGGACAACCACGTTGGACAAGCCGCTTCAAGGTGATTCTCTGGCGCGCTCCCTCCATCGACTGGGGTCGGTGGATATGTATATATGGCTTTTTCTAGGACCAACTGGCGAGTTCAGCTGTGGTCATGTTGTTCCCACCGGCTTGGACCCTGGGCCGAGCCTCGCGCGAGAGGCCAAAAAACACACCAAAAAACAACTCCTCGGTCGGTGGCCCAGGACGCTGCAAGGAGCTTGACGCATCTCAGGGCCTGGCACGAGGCCACGGAGGCGCGTGCGAGCCGTTTGGGCGCTGTGAAGGGTGGGCGAAGGTGAAGCCGGGGGCGGTGGAGAAGGAAGACCCCGTCAGTTGGGCTGTTTTTGAGTGACAGGTGGCGTGGTTTTTGAGGAGTTGGGCGGCCGGAAGTGGGAGGAACTGTGGTGAATGAATGGGGGTTTGTTTGACCTTCTCTCAGCCACTGGGGTCACGGGTGTCAAGAACAGGACGAGGTCTTCTTTTGCTCCTGCGGGGTTGTGACATATCGTAAGATAACTCCCATCAAGATCATTAAGCGATTGGGTATGATTGGGTGTTTCGGAGCAGTTCTCGAAGCAGCGATGCTTCGGTCTATGGCAAGGTGTCCATCATGTGCATTGCGAATGTGTTTGGCGCTGACTTGGCTTCATCGATCATCGTTCCACACCTTGGAAACACACGAGGAAAAAGAGAGCTGTGGTTGCGGAAGGTGAAGAATTTGCCAGTGGTGGTTCTTCTCGCAGAGTCCATCATTCAAGGGCTCCTTGGTGGCACAAAGATGGCGGGGTCTGATGGTCTAATTCCGGACGGATCCAGCTTGGGGGTCCGTTCTTCACCATTTGGATGCCCAGATCAGGGAGGATCCTCTATAACCAAATCCGTCTCCATGGCCTCACCCCGTCGTCTCGGTGCCTAGCAGGCTCAGTCGTGTAAGGCACAGATCGAGTAGCTAAGTGGCAGGGCAAGCCTTGCCATGAAAATCACCTTCATGCGCTGTTTATAGACCTCTCATTCACCAGCAATGTCTCTCTCCGGCACCAACCCCTGCATCCCTGAGCCCTCCTATGGGGCTGCTTCCATCGCATCGCACAGCACGGGATCTTGAGGCCAAGCGCTCTGTGGGCTCAACAGGCGACCCGGACGTGGCAGGAACGGAGGAGGGGACGGACGGAGCAAGGCTTTTGGGTCAATAAAACATCTAGACTCCCTGAATGAATCCATGGGTCTATGGGTTTATCCATGGGTTAGTGGAGTGAAAACCACCTGTTTTGTACTCAGAAAATGGTCATCCTTTCGGGGGCCTAAAAGGAGTGTAGTGAATCTAGATGAATCTAGACTTCTGTAGATCATGACAGCCTATCGTGTGGGGAACAAACTCTCCTTTGCGCGGCACGAGCGGTTCTTTTGAGCAAGTACGATGGCTTTAATCTGATGTTTTAATGCAAAAATGCATGGAAATCGTATCGCAATGTAAACAGATGAACGCGAGAGAAAGCGAAGAAACGGGAGTACACCTTATCAGAGACGGGTTGAAGGGTCTTTGCTCGTCTAGCCAGAGATCAATGTGTGGAGGTCTTCTATAAAGAAGGAAATTCCCCGCCTAGCTTGGAGAAATCGAGGTGGTGGCCGCTTGCCGCTCTGGTCAGCCGCTGCTGTCCTTGGGCCACCCCCCACTGTCACTCGGTCGAAAGGGTGGAGGGGAAGCACTCCGCCGAGCGGGTGGGCTTCGGGTGTCCGCCGGCGGGAAGCACTCCAAACATCGAGCGGTCTCACCACGTGATGCACGACGTTTCGCATGGACCGAGTAATAGCTGGACCGAGTATAGCTGGGCAGACATGTCGGAGAGGTGTGCTTCACGGGTCACCTGCGAAGCGGACACCGGGGCCTCGCCGTGCGACCACCGGGGCACCGGGGGGGTCGCCCGCGAATCGTGGGCAAGAGGCGGGGAGGTCGTAGGTCACTGGAATATCTCAGCTTTCAGCCCAGTTGGTTTCCAGCCCACTCTTGAGCCTGGAGGGGTAGACCTGCTTCTTTGGGCTTAGAAGGTAGCTTGATGGCTTGATCGCCTCTGAATTCATTGGAACATGTCCCACGGTGAACGTTGCCTCCACAAAACCTCAGATCGGCCCGTCCGGTGAGGCCACACAGCCTGGAAGGCTGGGAAGGGCGCGACCGGCCGGGCGGTGGAGAGAGAGGTCGAGTTGGGAGCAGATCCTTCGTGTGGATTGAAGGACCCAAACAAAGCCAGATCTCAAATCGATGGGTGGTGAGGATGCGCCATGTAGGTCTTGGACCCTCTGAAAAAGAAGAAGAAGTAGTAGTGGGCAATCTAGAACATCAAGGTCGAGGTTTTGCCTTCGGGATGGCACTGACTGAATGTGGTTGGACAATTGTACTGTGTACAGAGTTTTTTGTACCTACGTCAGTGGATTAGAGGCTTAGGAGGTGAACCCAACATCCAACCCAAAAGATGTTACGCGGAGTGCAACATGATCCTTCCCAGAGATGTGTCATAAAAACTCAATATTAATTTTGAGTCTGAGACTCTGAAGCACAAGTTCACCCTCTTTGGTTGTTTCACAAGCAGCTTCCCCCAAAGGACCAGCGGAATCGGCTTGTGACACATGAAGAAAGCAGGGTGTTTGGTCGATTTTCTCAGGTCCATCGGTGCATCCCTCAGGACACTTTTCCGCTTGGGGCTGCCAATTGGGTGGCGCCTACGTACATCGCAGGTGATGCAGCTATAGGCAGATACCTAGCTTCGATGGAAGCCACAACCATGCCACAACCATACAGGTGCATGTTCAATAAAACTCCTCTGTAGAGGGTTTCCTCCCTGTGGAGGATCTAAGCATTCTCAATCACAAAATAGGGGGCGGCACTGCCTGCTTTTGCAAAAGTGCTTCCAACCGTGAATGCAAATCTCCAATCTCCATCGAACTTCCGGCTTCCTGCGCTTCGTGCAGGCGGCTATGCCATGTCGGCCGGGTTCTTGCAACGTCTCAAGCTGCTTCTGCCAAGCTTGAAGGCCCAGTAGCAGCTCCAGAGCTGTTGCCCATGGACGGTTGCTTTGGGCGGGTTGTCCTTGGGTGTTTGGCGTCGTCCTTTTCGGCTGCAGGGCTTGCTGTGTACCCGGGTTCTTGATTGACCAACGATCTAGACTCATCTACAGACACAGAAGGATGTGGGGAATCCGTTTGAGGTTGCTTGGACAAGGAGGAAATCAGCATCATGCACAACCCGTCCTTTTAAATGGCTTTACACCTGCATGTTATTGGTTGTCTTCGTTGTTTGATTGATCGGTCTGGGGAACAGATCGTAAAAGCCCATGAGTTGTAGGGTGTTTACCTTTGCCGCGCGGCTGTTTGCACATGAACTGCTTAGCCCCAGCTCAACCCCAGAGGTGCATAGATCGTTCACCCCAATTTCAAGCGTCCACCAAGCCTTCCTGCATCAACCCCAGCCTTGAGAGCAAAGCGAAGTGCAAACATCGTGCAAACATGCGTCAACAGCGGGACCACATGAGGGAGTTTCGTGTGACTTCTGCCTCCAACTGCAACCCGCCACCCTGCCAATCCTTCCGCGCGGTTCGCCCATGGCTGCCAGGCGAAGCCCTCCGCTGAGATGGCTCAAAGCCTCTTCCGCTTGGCTCTGGAGCGGGCTTTGAGGGGCGCGTTATTTTTCAGGGTTTTGGCCTCACAAGAGGTCCTGACCCAGGACGTGCTTTGGGTGTCAACCGTAGATGGCCTTTGACCCCCCAAAAGGAACCACCAAAATAGGTAGTACGCGGTACGTACGAAAAGAATCGACTCCTCTGTTACTCCGAAAAGGACATCAGACCGTCGCCAAACTAAAGATGAACAGATGGACAGTTCTTTCCCTGCTCCGACCCGAAAATCTGGCGGTGCGGGCGCCCCATGTTCGTTTTCGGGCACGCCATGGTAGTACCGCAGGTGGAAAGTTCGGTTGAACGCCCAAAACAGAGGAGCTGAGCAAACCATAGCAAACCGAGGGAGTCAAAACCGAGCAGATGGCAAGTGTTGGAGCAGCATTCGTTGTTTTAAATGTTTTCGGATTCCAAAATGGATGGAAAAACCACCTTTTGGTGCGAAATATCTGCGCCTTATCAGGTTTGGACCGAAACCGGCGATCTGTTCCACTGCCGGTTGCGGTGGGTCGGGTGATAGATGTTGAGGTTCCCGATGAATCGATCGCCAAAACGGAAGCAACAGAGCTTGAAGGACCCGTGGTTGGACTAATCCCAGCCATAGGTACCCTACTAAGTTATGGGTCCTATTTAGGGTCACTGGATACCTCTGTTGGAAGATGTTGGTGGTGGTTTTTCCCCTGCTTCCGAACGAGCAAATCCAAGAAGCTGACTGGGCACAGCTCAGCTTTTCGCTCCCGGGCTTCACCTCTGGCATTTCGATGTGATTTTTGGACAATGCAATACGGCCTCTTCAGATTTTGGCGAACCAATTCCCAAAAGCCGTTCATTTGGGAGGGCAAACCCCTATATATTGTCACGGTTATCTACCAGCACCCTCCAGCCGACAGGTCTCCTGAAAGGTCCTAAAGAGGGTTGTGGTCGGCCCCGTTGGAGGTCTCAATTGGCCACCTGTGAAGTCGAGCGCTCTTCTCCACCCTTTGGGGAATGGTTTGCCGTTGGAGTCTTGAGAAGGGTGTAATTCATCTTTTCCAGTCTTGAAGCGAAGCAAGTCCATGGGCACAGCCTTTGACTCCCTCCCTTGCGGCGCTGCCAGGAGCAGTTTCGGCTGCCTTCAGTGCCGGCCGCTCCGCTTCTCAAAGGCGATGGATCGCCAGGGTCTTTTTGAATCCCCCCAAACTTCACAAAATCCATGGCGCAAAAAAAATGGCTTGCATGACTGATGGATTTTTTGGGTGGTGAAAGGTCATACGTGCGCCACCCATAAATGTTCTGGGAACCTGAGTCTTGACGAGGCGTTTTCTCCTGAGTTCCATAGAAGCTTTGCTGGGATGATTGGGGCCTCCGGGAAAAGAGCTGAACCTCTCTGGCACGAGATTTGCATTTCCTGGCAATTTCAGGGAGCCAAGTCTGGGGTTGATCGATGTTGCATCTACGCCTCCCTCGGCGGTTACTCTCAACATCTCTCAAGGTGCCCCCCTTACTCCGCAAGCTTCGCCCGCTCTTCACGAACTCTTGGGCCCCTCATAACAAGCAGATCTCATTGCTATTTGCCATGGGAGTTTGGTGCATCAAGCTTCGAGTTTGGTGTGTTCTTCCGGGGGATCACGGCGTCACCAGCGGTGGTCGCGACGGTTGGACGCTTCTCCAGCTCTCGCACAAGCGGTGTCTCCGAACTCGGCTGGCCTCGAACACGGCTTTCACAGCCCAAGAGGCGCCTTCGATGTGTAACGCTACAGGGTCTCATACTATGGTCTCTCAACCTCTCTTGGTACGCGAAACGACAACAGAAGAACCAGGGACAGGTTCCCACCACCCATCCATCGCCTGTTCGGGAGTGGTGTCGTTGTCCACAGCACCGCTTCCGGAGGCGGCGACGGACCGCTCGTTCCGCCGGGATCCGGACGTAGCCATCCTCCGGTGGCCGGAAGGCGGGGTGGATGGGAGTCAGTGGAACTCTCCAGTCTTAGAGGATCCATGGTGACAAATATGACCCCACGAACAGCCAAACAGCCATATTAGATCATATACTATACAAAAAGACCAACCACCAGCAGTCATGCTTGCGCCATTTCTATGCGCCATGGATCGTTTTGGGAGTGAAATCAATCAAATCTCGGATCCCGCCCACGGACTTGAGATTGAACATGGCCGGGCTTGGTTTCAAACCAAGAGCAAACCATATTAGACCTTTCTTCCGTATTAGGGATGGTCTCCAACCTAAGAGCGATGGCCTCCAACCTCACAGCGGACTTGAGATGGAAAATGGTCTCATAGCATCGTTGGTTTCATTCTTTCCTCGGTGACCAACGACGTCACTGGCTTGGTCGTGAAAAGGAATTGTGAAAGGTACATTGGAGGGTTTATAAGGTATTTGGATGGTCTTCCTTTTTGCGGCGGGTGGGGGGAGATGACCTCCACTGAGACCGACCTCCGTGTCATCCCGCAATTGCCGGTCCCCTTCGAAGATCGGCGGAATCGAGCCATGCCGCCAATTCTCTTCGGTGACGTGCCGGAACGGCGAAACACATGGAGGGTCTGACCATGTTTTCCGCCACTGACCGCCGGTCGGAAGGGCCCAGAGCGCCTCCCAACTCTGGAGCCGTCCGGTTTTCACGAACGGGGCTCCTGGCATCGCGACTCAAACGGGGCGCCTGGGTGGCGGGGACGCGTGGCTTTTCCGGTGCTTCACCCAGTGGTCAAACCGTCAAAACCGGCCAGGCCGCACGGGGGCATTAAGGCTGGGAGGTCGGTGTGTTCATGTCGGGGGAAGGAGGGGAGTAGCAAGCAAGGTTTGTCCATCAAAAGTGGGAGGTTTTCTCATTGAAATCCAACAGTTTATATAGTTGTGAAATACCCCTGAAACAATATACCAAATCGAACATGAACACACCAATCATGTCGGTTCTCCAGAAATAGGAGGTGCCAGTGTGTGAAAAAGATGGTTTAAGGGGGTCCGCTGCGCTTCGCGGGTCCAGAGGGTCAGAGATGGAGCAGCATGATTGGATGCCATGCTTTGTTCAGACTTCCATGGGATACATGAGTATTTACGAGGGTGTGGCTTTGCATCCAAAAACTAGCCAGGGGATACCCAGGGTAGAGTAGCTCGCTTCTACCCTGGAGCCCTGGAGTGGTTGCCCTTTCTTCACGGAACTTCTTCCGGCCCATCTGGAGGGTCGAGGGTCGAAACTCGCGCTGTCGAAACTCGCACGAGGACATATCATTACCCGCAAGAACCTCCTGTTGATGACTAGAGCCATCGATAGCCTAAGGTTGACCAGCGAATACATGTGTTTGACCATCCTGCTGCGGGGTCTTCACCAAGTTTACATGATGTCTCAAAAAGTAAGCCACAGACCTGGAGCTTTTAGAGTGTGTTGTTCCTTTCACCGGCGGGGTTGGATGGCACCCTATGGCTTGTGGCCAATTCTTCAGACTTACCCCGCGGAGGAGGAACACATCATGCCAAGTATCCCAAAAGGAACACGTCGATGGCGGTCTTCCAGAAAAGCAACGGCTTAGCCGATCTACATGAGAAGAGGATCGCTACGCTACTGGCCCAAGAGGATCGCTACACCATGCCACTTCCATCGGTCTAGGCATCTTCAGTTGATTGTTTGACTTCTTGTGACCGATTTAGCAACAGAGCAAGTTCTGAATTGCCAGACAAGTTGCTACTTGGCTACAGCCACCGCCTCGGCTGCATTGTGATCTGGCTGTCTCACGTAGGTTCCCTCACAGACGGGTTTGTTGTGCTGGTTGCCTCATCACGTGAGTAATGGATGATACTCAGAGCATCTAGAACCTCCAGCCTTCTGGAAGCTGCGGCCGTGCGAATCCCCAACGGGTGCCTTTCCCCACCCCCTTGAGCGCTGCCGGATGCGGAACAGGTGGGGCAGGCCGACTTGTGTAGCTTCCTCCTGTCGCACGCAACTCCACGCTGCACACACGCACGGCGCGGTCTCACTGTGGCAAGGTGGCGAAGCAAGTCACAATGGGCGTTGGCAAGATCTAAAGCTAAGGTGTGACAGGCAAGAAAGGGATCCGCAAACAAGCGTTCTATGTTCTTTCTGGTGTTATGGCTCGCTACCTCTTGAACTGGACCTTTGGTTTGGGTATGGGCTTTGTTCTGTGTGACATGGAGGCGGGCGGGTTACGCTACAGTACTGTTGCAAGTCGTTTCTGACTGCGATGGCCGCGGACATGATCTCTTTCTGATATTTTTTGAGGAAACTTCCTACCTGCAGGCTTGGTTCTGACGGGGTTCAGTGAGTCATACATAGTCTAGTAAGTCTATGTTTTGCGGCTCAAGATTCGTGCCATCAGTCCACCTCCTGTTGAGTGGCGGGGGGTCTTGGGGTGCCACATGTTGTAAACATGGCCTTGGGCGCAGCTGTGCGCAACAAACTAGCTGTTTCTTAGGCTGCTAGAAAAACCCTAGACCTCACACCCCAGTTGAAGTCAAATTGAAATCACAACCAGAACCATCACAAAACTCTACATTAAGGAAAACATGCGTAGCAAGAAACATGAGATATCACAGCCGTCCCCTTTTGTTGGTCATGCGAACACCATAAAAGCAACACATGACAAAACCAAAAGGCGGCTGCGTCAAAGCACCCGTGCAGGTGCTGCCATTCGTTTACAGAACGGTGCTTGGATTTTGCATTGGTTGCTCACTCGCCTGAACGCAGGAACCATTTGACTCTTCTATGTCAAACCAATGGGGTTTGGGCTTGGCCTTCCCAGCACCTATAAACCTTGTGCACGCCTTTACGTCTTATCACGTTTTCAGTTTCAGCTCACGCGTGGAGGTGTGCAGGGAGCCGGTGAGCTGACGGGTAAGCCAGGTTGTGGTCATCACCCTTGCGCATCGCGGCGACCGGCGTGTGGACCCATTGGTCGCTGGCCCTTCAGCTTTGGCTGCGATGCGGGAAGCAGGTGGGGAAGATTGACCTGAGACTGGCAAAACTCAACGCATTGGCTGCTTCATAAGTAAGCCAGTCTCTGAGTTCTGGCAGGCTTTGACGTGGAAGTCTTGCGAGCTTCCTGCTACTGTGAGCGGGACACTTTGGAGCAGGCAAGGCGACTGATTGCAGCCAAGTGACCAATGAGGAGGTACAGTGATGCAGTATAGGCTCTATAAGAACTGCAGCAAGTGCAAGGATCTATGGTTGAAGCAATGTGCACCATCAGCGCACACCCATGTTTCAGCATGGTCGGCTGCTGTGCTTCTTCGATGAGAACCACTGGGGCAATTTCCAGCGTTACGTTTGGGGCTCAGCAAGTTTCTGAAACAGTGACCCTTGTTTTGTCTCTGTGTGTGTGAGCGCATGCATCTACAAAAAAGGAGGATGGTTTCCTACCCTCTATGTTTGAGTTGGCGGATTTGTTCTATGCACATGGGTTTTCGGTCCACAAGATGGCAACATGCGCTGCCTTAGTTCAAATCACGTGTTCGACTTGATGTGATGTTTCAATCCAATGAAATCAATTCATGTATATACATTATGTTTAAAGATGATTTGTGTATGTCTTTCGAAAAAGTTGGTACACCTCCTTTCCATCCGATTCGGGGTGCGGGCCTTTGTCACACACCATTTGCATGTGTTCTTGGTGTTGTTGGGAGGGGCCTTTGTCGCAGAAATGTGACCCGGCCCCGCGGACGGCTTATAGAAGAGGCGGAGAAAGGTATCGCAACCCACGCCAACCGCAACAGTCCAAGAAGACTCACGTTTGTTCAAGGTCCCTGGCTCAATTCCCAGAATGTGGTGGTTCATGAATGTATATGTTTGTTAGTACACGTTTTTTGGGATGTTTACTCGTCTTGGCGGGGGTAGATACTTTGAGCATTTTGCCACGGTTTTTTGCCCTCGTTCCTGGATTTGCCAAGGAGGGTGCCACCCGAGAATTGGACTCCGAGGAGATTCGTTGTTTTGTTTTCCGCTGACCGGTTGAATGGATCGACGAGGTGTGCCAGGATTGATGTTTCAGGTGTATCTTCTACTCCTTAAGTAGAATGTACAAAAGATATAAGTATAATCGGTACGGATACACATGGTTTCGATCTCTTTCGACACGCTGCATATCCCACGAAGTATTGAGGGTGGACTCGTCATATTCCATCTTCAGATGCCTTTTGCATCCCGTGTCCTTTTCCATCACGTGGCTGTACAGGAGGAGGAAGAGTTGCTGGACTATCTCAACGAGAACTATGAGCCCGGTGTCACAGAGTGAACCGTGCAGAACGTGTGTTTTCTCGGGCAGGTGTTTCTACGCTGTGTGGCAGGTGTTTCAACGTCAATCGGTTGGTGCTGCTTCACCTATCGCGATTAGGTTGGAGGCCGTCGCTAGTAGGTTGGAGGCCATTGCTATTAGGTTGGACTAATGTTATAGTTTGCTATTTGGTCTTCGTTTTTTAGGGTTCAGGGATTTCAGGGTGCTGATGGCTGGTGGACATATACGGAGAATTACGGAGACATTTGGAGGGCCACTCGTGTACACCCTCAGCTCACCGAGTGTGGAGGTACATGTGCCACGCTTATGTGCGAGCTAGGTTCAAATCCCACTGACTAGTTTGCCTTCACAGCAGGACAGCTACAACTAGCTGTGCACACTCAGTAATTCTCAAAGACTTGTTAACTGGGGGGCTTTTTGCTGTCGGATTTGATGTGTCAGATAAACTGGATCAACTGCCAAGACGTCGATGTTTCCACATGGTCTTTCGTCCTGTAGAACTGTCTCAAAGTAGGTCCTGAGATTCATGGAATGTCTTCGTGTTTGCATCCAACCGTCCTCGTGTTTTGAGCAAAAAAACTTCTTCATCCTCACAGTCCAAGGTCACTGGTGCCCCAGCCATGGCTGCTGTCCTTGTTCTGCTCGAAAGGTGTGTGATTTCAGGGATCAAATCGAAGCAAAGAATCAAAGAACCTTTGGATGCAGGCAAGCAAAGTCATGTCACACCATGCAATATCTCATCATACTGGTAGCCTTGCATCACACACTTGGGCATGCTTAAAAGTGAATCGAAACGGTTGGCTGACTGTGGCAAAAAGACTGACCAGCCATTTGTAGCCTATATAGTTGAATCTGAAGCTTCCTGAAGCACTATTACTCGAGTTTTATGGATGACCTCAAAAACGCAGCTGTCCAATTTTGTATGCAACATGTCTGCAAAGAACTGACAACTGCATTATTGAATTTGAAGTGTGTTCCCAAAAAACATGCCATGGCCAAATGATGTGAGTCCAGAACTCTTGGTGAAGATACTGGATCTATCATCCGACGCCTCGGTGCTTTCTCTTACCGCCGCTTCTTGGACTTGGAAGGGTGCAGTGGAAGACTCCCGCGCCATGTGCAATGAGGGTCCCTGGCGACATGCATCAGGTCCTTGGGAATCAGTTGGACTCTGGAGATTTTTGAGTTTGAAAGACCTGAATCAGATCCCCGACGTGACTCTTTGCTGTGAAAAAGTGCTTCAAAACGCGGAGGAAGCCTTGGCTTTTTTCAAAGCTGCTAAGCACCTTGCAGCTGACACGGTAGATGGCCGGGTGACCTTTCAGATGTGTTCATTTGAGACCTCTGATGCAGTACACCTTTTTTCTGCCGATGAAGATGCAGACCTTGGCAAAAATTGTGTGGCAGAGCCCACAGCAGGCGTTCTTTTTGAAGGACGTGAGATCGAATGTGTGTTGGAGGCACACCACTTTCCTCACGACAGATCTCCTTGGACAAACTTAATCATACAGAATCGGGAAATTGAAGGTTTGAATCCCTTGGTTTGCTGCAGCAGCCTTTTGTTGCCAAAACTCAGGTTGCTTTCCGGCATTTCCGGCTGCATCAACATTTACACCGATCATAACCTGGATGCAGACTCTCCTTTGACAGATTTGGTGCGCTTGAGCATGCCGGTACCCCTGTTTTTTGGGGTGAGGGGTCTTGATGATGGCTCAATATGCTAGAACTTGGGCTGGCTGAAGCAGGGGGAATGCATCTTTGGAACCAAAAGCGCGAAGCGGCCGCGCCTGGTTCGGGGTCCGACGGGGAGAGCATGTGTTGATTGACCTGATTCCTGGGCCGGTCAACTGATTGCGCTAGAAAAAATCGATGAAAAGTCAGGCCATGGTTTGAAGAATCTTCAGATCTCTTTAGAAGCTGTAGCTTGACTTCATCTCATCATCATCTCCAACCCTGTCATTTGTCGGACGGAGAAGCTGTCGGACGGAGTCGGACGGAGGCGGAGGGAGTTTTATGTTTCATGATGGTTTCCAAGGGTTTCACGTTGGTGCTTCGGTCATATCTAAAGCATTTCTTGCACCAGTTGGACTTATTTACTCTTAAATAGTCTGTATCTGTATAAGTTGGACTTCAGACAACCTCCAATTCACTTGCAAATGTCTTCATGATTGAGGGACCTTTGGTTTGATCTAAGAAATCGGTGCGCCGTCCACCGATTTCTTCGCTTCACTTCAGTGCCTGCGGTCCAGAAAAAAGCTCCGGTCTGGTCTCCAAATGCTGTCCAGTTTTTGGGATGTTTTTCAAACCGAAACGAAAATGAAGCCACCACGCGAGTCGGGAGACCTTCCCTACCAATTTCAGCTACACAGCGAAGACACAGGATTGTTCCACCCGTAGGGGTGAGCAGACCTTCCCGTAGGGTTTGAGCCTACACAGCTTTCGCATGAATCTTCATCAAGTCCCTAAGGGCATCGCTACTAGGAGCAAGAACGCGACTAGGGGCTCCTGGCCTTACTACTAGGAGCAAGATCGCTACCTTCGGGGCTCCTGGCATCGCTACGAGTCCGGAGCATTCTTACTAGTAACAAGAAGCTACAAGAATTCTTTACTAAACAAGAAGCTACCTGTAACAAGTGCATCGCTTCTTGTAACAAGTGCCTTACCAGTAGTAACAAGAAGCTACTAGTAAGAAAAAGCTACTAGTAACAAGT